GGGGGGGGCAGCAAAAGCAGACCTGACCACAGCACACATGAGTTCATTCGGACACTTACTAAATAAGTATTTACTGAGCACCTTTCTGTGTGCTGGGTAATTTATGAGGACGGCAATACATGATAAACAGGACAAACCCAGCCCCTTATGTTAAGGAGAAAGGTAGGCAAGCAATCACAATACAAGGGCTAAACGCCAGCACTAGAGGATACAGGGTCTGAGGAGCCCACAGTAGGGGCATCTCATGAGGATGAGCAATTCTGAAAACTCCCCAGACTCAGGGCTCTCGCTCTGCCTTTCTAACACAATGCAGTGGATAGTGTTAATGACTCTCAATCATCAAACACACACTGAAATTCACTTCAATACCGAGTATATAGGCCAGAGAAAGCTTTATTTTTTGCTTTTCATTTTTGTTTTGTTTTTTAAAGGGTCAAACCCATATAATATGGATAACTTAGTTATCCAGAACATGATGCTTGATGAATTCGAACATTTGATGTGTACTTCACACACCCAAGTCAAAATACTCGCTTGGTGTTGTGTACATTTCCTTTTCCTTAAAGACAAACAAACCAGTGGTACCACACTTCCTGGGGTTATGAACTTGCAAGTTATGTAAATGTCTAATCATTATGTTGTACACCTGAAACTAACATAATATTATATGTCAACTGTAATTGAAAAATTAAAAAAAAATAGGAAGAAAAAGAGAACTCTGAGGGCTGCCAAAGTGCAGGAGCTTTTCAGTGAATTCCCTCAGATACTTGGGCCAGTCTAGGGGAAACTGTTTTCTCCTCCTCCATGTTCTATTTGATTTCCCAGACCCTCACCAAATGCAACTCCTGTGCGCTCCCCAGCACCTTATATTCTCCAGTGCTGGCACTTAGCCCATTTATTGTGACTGCTTGCCTACTTGTCTCCTTAAGATAAGGGGCTGAATTTGTCTTGTTCATCTTTGTATCACCATCCTCAGAAATTACCTGACACACAGAAAGGTGCTCAATAAATAAACAAAGGCGTTAACTCAATGTCAACTGTATACCACATGCACTGTACTAACAGCTTTACATGTCTTATTTTATCTTCCAAATCTTAGGTTTTATATTCTGATAAGTGAAAAAGCTCAGAGAAGCTATGCAATTTGTCCAAGATCACATAGTACACAAGTAGCAGCAATGTATAAAATCATGTCTGTCCATGTCAAAAGCTATTAATTGCCATACATACACTTGGCTTTCTAGTAAAGCATTTAAAACCACAATATTCTATGGAGTGCATCTATAGGCTATTTCCTAACCATGCAATGTTCCAATGCTGTTATTATTAAACTAAGCCATCTGCCTAACTCCATCTTTAATCCAGTACCAAATGTCATCACACAGGAAAACCATACTCCGGGCAACTAACCCCACAATTCCCCGCACTGTTTTGTTTTCCTAAGCCTAGAAATTTGATCAGCTCACACCAAACCAGTACTTCTGTTGACATTTCCATAGAGATAATTTGGGGAAATGTAAACAGCTGATATAAGCAGCATTCTGGCATGCAGAAAAAGGTAAACTGTACAATTCTTGTTTTAAGAAGTTATTTTTAAAAGGTGAAGTCACTGTTCTTTTGTCTCTACAGACGCAGACACCATCAGCAGACTGATGTAAGAAAGTATTCTGAAATGAGGCTGACATACCACGCCTCAGCTAACTCAGAATGAATCAGGGAATGAGACGAACACACAGTAAGAGAGGATTAACCAGAAGCAGGACAGAGGCAGAACGGAGATGTGAGCACCTCTTCAGCAAGCACCGACTGTTCCAAGACTCAAGCACGAGATGGGCGCGTTCCTCGATCTGTTGCTTCACTTTGCCAGCTCTGGCACAGAAGTAACTTGTTGACGTGAAGTCAGAAAATAAATGTGCTTCTGATCATCGTTCTTTAGAGAATAGGGAACGTCCAACAGTGGAACTATATTTGAAAGCACAAATGACATCACACTCCACTCTGCTGTAGCTTGCAGCAACACTATAGCCCACACAAGCTATGCACCTGGACTAAGATGCCCTTTAGAATTAGAGAGAAATAAGTAAGTGTACATTTCCACTTCCCTCCTCCCTCCTCAGTTCCTGAACCACTCGTGGATTTTTTCTAGACTTAGGCTGGGCTGCAATCTGCCCTACCACCTACCTGCTATGTGCTCTTGAATGTGTTACCTCCTCTTCACCTATGTTTTCAGTTTCCTCATGTGTGACATGGAGCTGCCAACATGCCTCCACATCATAGGTCACTGTGAGAACTAAATTAGATAATGCGCGTAACAAGCTTAGTATAGTGCCTGGTAATGCTTCCCTGCGGGCATTTCTTCCTGGCATTGCTTGGGAAATTTATGTATTTTTTTGAATCATAAGAAAAATCAGTCAAGAAATTGGGAAAATATTGAATGTCTTGAAACTCCCAATATTAATACTCAGTATTTGAAGTTGAGAGACAGAATTTCTTATATCATAAATTATTCTATATTTTATATGATTTGTCTATTTTTAAATAATGAGAGACCATTATAATAAATAGTGAGTCATTTCTTACATAAAAGTTTCAGAAGTATTCTGTAGCAAAAACAATAAAGAATGCATGATTTATTGTTATTTGAACCAATATGTCAAAATTATGTGTTTCAATATGTAAAAAATAATCTCCATGGCCGGCTGAGTGGCTCAGTTGGTTAAGAGCTCGCTCAAGAGTTTGAGCTCTGAGCAACAGCGGTTCGAGTCCAGCCCGAGCTGAGCAGCCGCTGAGCTACCAACAGGTAGCAGGATGGCTCAGCTAAAAAAATAAAATAAAATAAAATAAAAAAATAATCTCGATTTGATACAAACATTTGATACTACAAAAATAGTAAAAAGGGGGAGTAACACAAAAAAATGCTGACTTAAAATCTATTTAAAAATTCAAAGACAGTATCACAAATGTTTAATATTTAAACTCTGTCATTCTAAAAAAAAATTTTAAACACTATACAGCATTACATGCACTATCCAATAATACGGATCTTTGTTTCATGCAAAATTTTCCATATGTAGAAAATTTTATTTTTGTGTTGGAGTTGGTTGAATAAAGATATATTCATAGATGAGGGCCGGCCGAGTGGCTCAGTTGGTTAAGAGCTCGCTCAAGAGTTTGAGCTCTGAGCAACAGCGGTTCGAGTCCAGCCCGAGCTGAGCAG